CTTTGTTAATGTAGAAGCAGATGTTGGAGTTGTACTGACACCAAATAATCCTCCAAATGTTGTTGTAGTAGTAGGAGGAGCAATCAGCAATCCTTTATTAGCTATCCATTTTTCTCGAACTTCTTTTAATGTTGTCAATGTAGAAAGTTGTTCAGCAGTCAGTGTTAATGATGGAATATTTGTTGTTCCATTTTGATTGTCTATTTTTAATCGACGTGCTTTAGCACCTATGAAAGAAAAAATTGACATAAATCTTTTTCTATTTAACTGTTAATATCGTTTCTTTTTCTTTTCTTCTATTTACCTCCACTATGCATTAATTCATGAATACGTCGAGTAAGTTCAGCTTCATCTATTGGACCACCACGTAATTCTGCTTCACGCATTACTTCTTCATGTACTTGAGCTATTAATCGTTCAAGAGAAATTTCTTCTTTAGCGGAACCAACAATCACCGAAGCTAAATTAGCACAATTATTTAATGGTATATATTGACCACCTGTTTTAAATGCAAGTGCCATGAAAAAATCACGATAAGATATTGTAGCTGGCTCACATCCAACTGTATATAGAGTAATACCACGTTCAGCAAGTAATCCAACACATTCCATGGGATCATGTCCAGATGGATCACCTATTAAAAAAACATATATGTTGAAATAAAAATTTATAAGAAAAAAATATTTTCTTTTTTTTTTACCATCAGGCCAACCATCACCCATCGGATCTAGTCCATGAGGAGGAGCATCGGCAATAAGAATAGCTATTTTAACTGCATTTTTTCGCCACGTTAAAGTATGAACAGCAGCATGTAATGCAGGTGTCATGGCTTCAGGACCATCACCACCTAAATATTAGTTTTTTTTATTTTCAACTAAAATATTGGATATTAAAAAAATAAAATAGCAAACCTCCAGAAGCAGAAGCTAAATCAATATTTGCTTTTGCTTGTTCAGAATCATTTGTAAAATCATTAACTTGAATAATAAATGTACGATCCTGAGGTGGGTGATCACGATAAAGAATTAATGCAACATTCAATAAACATCGTTCACTTATAATAATATCTTGAATAATATTTCGCATATTCTAAAAAAAAATATTCTTCATAGATAATTTTTATTGTTTATACAGACTAATACTGACCTCTTGAGCTGATTTTATATAAGATCCCATACTTCCTGTAGCATCAATAATAAAAGCAAGATCCAATTCTGTAAGTGCATTAGATGTGGGTTCCATAGTTGTTGTAGAAGATGCTTCAGTCATTGTCTATAATCTTAGTGTTAATGTTTAGGAAGGATATAAGCGTTTTTTTAGAATACTTCGTCTTTAACTTCGAATGTAACAAACACAGAACTCTACCTCGTTTATATACGAAATAGACAGACTACATAGGTGTTCTTGCAAAACGATTGAGTAATAATTTGTTGTTTTGTTTTCTATTCTTCACGTTGGCGTATGCACGTTACAATCGTTGTGCAATACTCAAAGTTCATATTGTTAACAGAAACCGATTGTAATTTAAAACGAGTCTATCAAGAGGCAATGTTCTTATTCCGAATAGCCAGCGAAAAAACAGTCTATGCAAAATGTATATTCACATCGTTCATACCGCTCGGGTTCTTCTGCTTAATTCTTTTTTTAGCATCTTAATGCATAAATATTTAGATGTCAGTCGAATTCGCGTATCCATGTGAGTGTGAGCACGCTCAAGTCGTCCTGTACCATTCACATCAACTGTTGTCGCTTAGTTTTCGAGTTGGATTATTTGTTAAAGATGGCGCCACATAAATAGTTATTAGTTAGAAGACTAACTGATAGGAAAAAGTGTAGCACCATCTGACACAATACACTGAGACATATGAAAATCGGATTACATGTCTTCGGAGAATATCCCCGGAAACTCGATTATGTCCTAGGGTAAGAGGTATATAGGTATAGGATGTATAGAGGTATAGGAGGTATAGGAGGTATAGGAGGTATAGGAGGTATAGGAAGTATAGAAGGTATAGGAGGTATAGAGGTATAGGAGGTATAGGAGATATAGGAGGTATAGGAGATATAGGAGGTATAGGAGGTATAGGAGGTATAGGAGGTATAGGAGATATAGGAGGTATAGAGGTATAGGAGGTATAGGAGGTATAGGAGGTATAGGAGGTATAGGAGGTATAGAGGTATAGGAG